TGGCCCACCTGCGGACGAGAGCCCACGGTCACTCCGGGCACAGTGCACAGGCCCGAGGTCAGAACGGAGCCTCAGCCATGGCAAAGCCAGCTTCTAGGCTGTTCCCTCAAATATAAAGGAGATAAAAGCCGCCCTGGGCTTGAAGAGCTGGGGGATGAGGAGGTGACGGCAGTAGGAGCAGGAGTTAGGAGCTGCCCTGACCGAGGCTCCGTCTCTGGTTGCAAAGGCAGGCACCGAGCTGGAGCTGGGGGGACAGACCAGAGAGGAGCCTGGAGGAGGTGTACCCCGGGAAGAAGGGGGCCGCACAGGGACGCCGAGGGCTGCGTGCACATGCAGACCCGGGGCCTGGACTGGTTAGGAATGATGGGGAGCTGCAGGCGCCGCCCCACCACTCAGCCTGGGGCCCCCCTGCAGGGAGGCGAGGCCTGCTTGCCCCCCGCCCCCCAACACGCACACGCACCTGGATTTTTTTGTGCAGCAGCTGCAGGGCCAGTTCCTTAAGCGAGACCCGGGCCCGGGTGTGCAGGCCGGGCTGGCTGAGGAGGTTGGGGACGTAAGTGGTGTCCCGGGTCTGGCTCCGAGGGTGCACGTATTTGAGGGCCCTGAAGTCGTTGTGCAGGGCATGGCCCACCACCACCTTGCCCTTCAGGAGCTTGAGGATCTGAGCGGAGAGGAGTCAGGAAGGCCCCACTGTTGGTGGCCCAGCCCAGGGGGTGCAGATCCCTCTGCAGGGAGGCAGCACGGACAGGGGCGGTCAGGAGCGCAGTCCACCACGCTGCCAAGTGCGAGTCCAGACCCTGTATCTACTGCTTGAATAAGCAGGGCTGCCCGGCCGGCGTGGCTCAGTGGTTGAGCGTCAACCTATGAACCAGGTCACGGTCGATTCTCCATCAGAGCACATGTCTGGGTTGTGGGCTCGATCCCCAGGGGGAGGCGTGCAGGAGGCAGCCGATCCATGATTCTCTCTCATCATATTGATGTTTCTCTCTCACTCACCCTTCCTCTCTGAAATCAATCAAAATATATTTTTTTAAAAAATGTAAAATGTCCCAACATGACCGCTATATTAGAGCATCATTTGAGGAGGTGTGATCTTGCCCTGGGAAACACTAAGGGAATGCAGGAAGCCACGCTCGGGGAAGGTGCTTCAGACACCCACCTGGGAGCCCCGTTCACCTGCGTGAGGCCACAGCCACCTCACCTGGTGCCCCCACCTCCCATGTGATTTCAGGTAACTTCCTGCGTCACTTCACCGGACACAAGGTCAGCCCTGACACCCGCCTCCACGAGGAAGCGCCAGGTCTCCTTCCAGGTAAAGTGCGGCCGCTATTGGGTGCGTGTTGTTACTGGGGGTATGTATGCATTTCTTAACCATCTAACATGCGTCAAACTGGGCGCCGTGTCCGGGTGTGGAGGCCAGGCCTTTCTGTTTTTGCTGTGACGTGTTCTGAGTGTTGTGGCCCTAACCCCGTTTTCCCCATCAGCTCGGAGGTGTTAGTGTGCCCGTTTCCACAGCATGATGAGCTGTAGGCCCACACACACACCAGAGCCTCCGCAGGCCTAGAGACCGAAGGAGTCAGAATCCCAGAGGGATCTGGGACTGGGAGCCGAGATTAGCAAGGCTTGAGGTGTTTCTTACGCTTACGCACGTCTGGGGATTCCTGGCACGTCAGATGGTCCCAACCATGCATTCATTTTTTTTCAAAGCCCTGAAAACCTAACAGGAAATACAGTGGGGCCTTGACTTACGAGTTTAATTCATCCCGTGATGGAGCTCGTAACTCAAATTACTCGTATGTCAAATCGAAAAGTGAACGAGTGAGACACGTGATGCTGAGCTGATGTTGTGGCGTTCACTGTGACGTTCGCTGCGCCAACTAGCGGTGGGGTATCTGAAGCTGGCTCGTAACCTGAATTTTAGCTCGCAACTCAAAGCAAAAAGACAGCCAAGAGACGGCTCTTATCTCGAAAAACTCGTTAGTCGGGACATTTGTAAGTCAAGGCCCCACTGTACACCAACGTACTGACATCTGAGGCGATGGCAGTGTCTGTGGCCTTAGAAATGTGGAGATGGAATACTTTTACGAGAAAATGTAGAAGGTAAGCAGCCTCCCACCTTGGGGGGCACAGCCTCTCAGCGACGCGCATGCGCAGGTGGGTCAGGATCCCACGCGCCCTTTCCATGCAGGAGGAGCCCCTGGTTCCGAGACGTTAGTAACTTCCCCAGCTCTCGCTTCCAGTGGCCAAGTGGTGACTCAGCCCCCGGGCCGCCCTCCCACCCATCACTGACCCAGTCCCCACCCGCCTCACCTCTTTCTGGGCCACCTGGAAGGGGATGGCCTTGCGCATGTGCTGCCGGGTGATGCCGCTCCAGCGAGTGCGGTAGTCCACGATGGGCATCTCAGGCCGGATGTACTTGTCGTAGAGGACGTCGCCATGGTAACTCACCACAGAGCAGCGGGCCAGCTCGCTCACCCGCCCGCAGGGCCCCGTGCCCACCATCTCGCAGTCGATGGCCACGCATCTGCTAGGCAAGGGCCCTGCCGCTTCCCTGGGGGAGGGCTTTCTGTCGCAGGGGGCACCTCCAGAGTCAGCCCTGGGACCCTGCCTCCCACGGCTGGCGGCCTCGGTGCCTGGCAGTGCCCCCGATGGCCCGGGCGGTGGGGAGGATGCTGGCTCTGGCTCTGGGGGCGGGCTCTGCAGCCCCTGCTCCTGCAGCAGGGCCTTCCGGGCCATGAAGCGCTGGTGCTGCCGGCTCTTCCGCTTGTGCCTTCTCCGAAGCACATCCTTGGCATGCGGGCCGGGCAGCAGAGGGCACAGGCGCTGGGCAGGCTCCGGGGCTTCCCTGGACACCATCCCAGCCTGCTCACAGCTCAGGGCACGGGAGGCCTGGGAGGCAATCTTCCAAGGGGCAGCTCCCTGGAGAGAGACCACAGGGCGGAGGGCCTGGGTGAGGACCGGCCAGCCGCCTGGCTCCCTCCCTCCTGCGGTGGCCCCGGCCCTAGACCTGGACTGTGTCTCAGGCTCCTGAACCGAGCGAGGACCTATGTTACTAATAACTGTCCTCGTACAGTCAATACCACACGCAAGCCTTTCCGTGGAATCACTCCACCTTCCCCACAACCTCAACAGAGCATGATCATCCCCACGGGAGGCCGGTGCCGAATTCACGCACAGGTGGGGTCTGGCCGGCCCTCCCCAATCAGGGCTGATGGGGGGTGGGGGAGACCCGGGATGTTGGGGGGCGCCTGCCTACAACCACCTTCCTCCTGCTGACAAGGCACACGCTGGGCGGACAAACACAGAACCCATCCCTCTGCCCAGCCCAGCGACCAGGGCACTGGGAGGCCCAGACTGAGGCTGACCTCTGGGGCCGGAGGGCGGAGCGCCCGCAGGTCAGGAGCTGAGGCGAACCGGGTCCCTGCCCTCCCTGATCCTGCCCAAGTTTCAAAGCCAGAACCAAGTGGGTAATCGAGGCTCAGCTCCCATCCCGCCCGATGATGATGGTGATGATGATGATGATGATGATGATGAGCGCGGCCAGGCCGGGGAGCGGCTTTGCTCCACAGCACGGCCTCCGGGGAGGGCAGCCCGAATCTCTCCGGCCCGGCCCGGCTCCAGG